CTCTTCCCTGGCGAAAAGGTTTTGTGGCACAGGTGCCTCTTCTCTCTACTGTCAGTAGAATTATGGGCGTGGAGCTGAAGGGAATGTAAACAACCCGGCCTAGGTTTGTCATTTTATCGGTTAGGAAACTGAGTTGTAGATTTGATAGGTGCAGCTTGGCCAGGGAGGCGCAGGGAGTAGGTTTCAGGGCCAGGTTCCCTGATGCCTGGGTGGGGACCTCTCCCCATGTCTTTCTGGCTTTCTCAGCAAAACTAGGTGGAGGGACATGACATGTAATCATGCAGACTTCACTTTTTTTTTTTCTGGAATAGATATTCCAATTTGCTATTTATTTACTAGCTTAATTTCTTTTCCTTCCTATTTTTGTTGTCTTTGATGATCTCATTGTTTTAACTCCCATAAGAGAGCAAGGGGGAGCCAGGGAAAGGAGGTAAAGATAACTTCAAATATCAGCTTCTGAACATCGTATCTTACATTCTGGGCTTCCTTGTTTATTATATGGGCAGTGGGACTATTTCTCATTGCACTCTGGTATTTTCTTAAGGGCTAGAGAAACTGTACTGCAGCATATAAACACTGCCATTATATAGTTTGCAGTATAATGTGTGCACATCAGTTCTTACATGATGATATATGCAGCCTAATAGTTTAGCGTAGATATAAATAAATAGTGTAATGCTTGAACTAGGTCCTAAAATAGTTTTTGAATCTTGTGCTGTTCTGTCATTGGAGCCAAATCCCTTCTTCCCACCCAGAGAGTTAGGTTTGACCTGCACAGGAATTGAGTAAAATATTTGCATCTGGAAATATGAAACACCATAAAATGCAGATTTTTTTGTGTGTGTGTGGTATGTGGACCTCTCACTGTTGTGGCCTCTCCCATTGCGGAGCATAGGCTCCGGATGCGCAGGCTCAGTGGCCATGGCTCACGGGCCCAGCCGCTCCACAGCATGTGGGATCTTCCCAGACCGGGGCACGAACCTGTGTCCCCTGCATCAGCAGGCAGACTCTCTACCACTGCGCCACCAGGGAAGCCCAATGCAGATGTTTTGAGATACCCCGCAGAGTCATTTTAATTCGTTCAGTGGATAGAAATTATGAATACAAATCACAGCCCAACTTTTGTAGCCATTATATTGTACATCCAGGCTATGACTCTGAGAGGTGCAGTGAAGGGTAGGGGAAGGGATGGCTCATTTCCTACTGGCTGTACTGTAGGACACAAATTCCTTGTGACTAAGCTCACTGTGTTTTGCAAGGGAGAGAAATAGTGGGGAAGAAAGACATAAAAATCATATGGATAAGCTACTTCCTAAATCTCTTTCCTTCCTTTCCTTTCTTTCCTTTTTCTTAGTTCGCTTGAGAGCTGTGGTTGGCTGACATCCCTTGGACAAGCCCTAAGGATGGCTCACAAGATGATTCAGGGTCCCTTTTGAGGAAGTATTAGGTCAGACCAGATTCAGTTAACTTTTTTGGACATTACCTCCCTCCTCCTATCAGCAGGTCTCCTATACTCCATCCCCTGCTCACCTGACCCATACAGTTGAAACTTATGCTGTGTCACTTCTTCCTCTTAGCTAAGCTAGTACTACAGTCCTTGAGGACCAGGATGGTCCTGGGACATGCTTGGTGGCCAGGCTAGACATGCTTAGGGAATTGAGAAGTGAGACTACTCTGTGGTCCTTCTCTGTCTGCCTGACGGTGGGACAGGGTTTGAATCTGGGGTCCGCAGGCTGGCTGTGTGTAGGGGGGAACATGATGTGTCTGTGTACCCCTGTGAAGTGGAAGGCAAAATTATGCGTGTATTTATGTTTTTCTGGACTGAGGTTCTGAGGAAAGCTGTGGATTCTCAGAAGGGCTGTGAACAACAAACTGTGAAGCCATTGTCCTTGGGTGTTAAATGTGCTATTGTGCGAATGTGTTTTCCCACCCACCTTAGCAGCCCCGGGGAGGGGGGTGGCTGTCTTTGATGGGGTAACAGCGACTCCCTCCTGCCCCTTCCCCCTCCTGGATGTAGAACCTGCTTCAGAGCTGGGATGCATCTGAGAAACCTCCTTGTTGAGAGTGTCTTGGTTGTCCCCAGACACCTCTGGAGGTCACGTGGAATAGCCCGAGCCAGTCATGGAAAGTCCACTTGCAGATCGGAGGTGGAATTTCAGCCTGGGTGCCGGTACTTTCCCGCATTTGATGTGTTGTTCACTCATCTCTACAACCACTAAGAGGTGGAGAAAGGCTGGGTTGAGTGGTCTTTGCTTTTCCTGTGCCTGTGTGGGATGGTGCGTGGTGTCACAGTGGTTGACACTTTCAGCAACACTGCCTGGGCCATTAGTCTTCTAGGACAGGCCAAGTTAAGCATGAACTGCCGCGTTCAAGTCCAGAGAGCTGAACAGAGTCATACTCAGTTTAGCTTTTTTAGATAACTAAGGGAAGCTTGGTGCAAATGTTCATAACGGTGAGTGATTAAAGTGCTGTCTTGTTAGCTTTGCATATATGTTAGAATTCACTTTTTCATATCATGTGTTTACTTGTATCAGAAATTGAAAAATTGGCTTCACAGAAGTGTCTTCTGCTTCACTGAGCCCTGTGTTTTTAGCTTATAGCTTTTGTTTTGGGGAGTAGTGTAATTTTGTCTACATGTAGTAAGCATTTTAAAATTAAGTTTTCAAACATTTATTGTTATCCAGGTCTTTGAAAAGAGCAAGAGGAATTAATAATAATTTAGTAGGCAATGTCATGTAACCTACTCAATGGTGTATATTGCCTTAATATTGAGAGTAAAATAATTCATCTCTCAGAGAAAATGGGAGCTTGAAAATACTTTAACATTATGGTACTAAACTAATAATTTTCTAAGTAGAAATTATTAGCATTTTGGTTTTAAAATTTAACTCGACTGTGTACTTGAGTATGACTCACATGCCAGGGTCCCCAAGAAATCAAGTCAGATTTAAGACTTTTACTTTTCTTTTCTTTTTTTTTTTTTTTGTGGTACGCGGGCCTCTCACTGTTGTGGCCTCTCCCGTTGCG